GGTGGCAGTTTGAACAAAAGGGAGCTCTCGTGGCATAGAGATTAAGGTGTTCGCCTCTCATTCAAAGGTCCGGGGTTCGAATCCGGGTACCGACAGCAACATTTTCTTCTCTAAAATTGTATCCTTTCACCTCCATTCCTGTTCTCTTGCAATGTTCTGTTGTCTGATCTTGGAGGTCCTTTGTGCAATTGCACACGTTAAAGATCCCTTGCTGCTCTAAAATCGATAAGAGTGGGTTTTGGCTCCGACCCGCTCAAAATTCCAAATTTTCTATCAACTGTAAATATTTGATGTGTCCTGCGTGCTCATATGACCTTATGCAGTTGCAAGCGCCGTAAAACACTTACCACTCCCAAAAAGGGTTTGAACAAGCCCTGCCTACGCGTCCCTCAGTACACCTGTTATCTTTCTTGCCAGCCACAACCAAGATCTCCTTTTCATTTTTGCGAGCAACGACCAGATTTTTTTTTCTTTTTTCTTTCTTGCCTGCCACAACGGGATATCTCTTTTTCTTTCTTGCCTGCTTCAACCAAAGATTTCTTTTTTTCTTTCTTGCCAACCACTAGCCCTTCCAAAACGAGAGATTTTCTTTCTTACCAGCCATAACCAGAGATTTGTTTTTCATTCTTGCCTACCACGACGACAGATCCTTTTTTTTCTTTCCTGCCTGCCACAACCACATACCTCGTCTTTTCTTTCTTGCCTGATACAAACAGACATCCTTTCATTAAAAAAAAAAGATTTCTCCCAACGTTCCCCACCCACACTGCGCACTGATCAGCTTATACAACAAAACAAACTGTGCATTAACTCCACACGCAGAAAGTGAGCATTACTTGATAATGAATCCTGTTCTCTGTCCTTACTTGAAGGGTAGGCAAAAATAAATAAATAGATTGTTTTAAATGAATAAAAACAACAACAAAGCAAAACAAAGACAAAAACAAAATTGATAAAATGGAAAGAGGTGGGGGCGGGGGGGGGGGGGGGGGGGGGGACCCAAAGAAAAAAAAAACTATTTTTTCCGGTTTCTCCCAGGGGCCCAACGGCCCCGCGATAACCCCTGTTTCTGCATTATATAACCCCTTGAATTTGTGTGGGTGAATATTTAGATACGAGTCGTGTGCATTCTATTGATCAATATTAGTTGGCCGATAACACGAAATTAAATTGTTAGCGCTGTCTGGGTTTTTAAAAAAATCCCAGATAACGCACGAGGCACGTTGAAAAAAGATTATTGTTAAGTGGGCCCATGTTTCCTCTGATATGGGCCAAGAACCAGGACCACACTTTAATTCAAACTGGTTCATCTTAACAGCGAGACACCTACGCAATGGAACGTTGAAGAAGAGCAGAACTTCGTAGCCCCGCCGCAATTAACAGGCAATTAATATTAAAGATCCGCCTACAGCTGAACTTACGACACTCGGGTCAGTATACATGATTGAGACTTCGCCCGAAGAATACGTTAACTTAAAATACAATTTAACGGAAAAAGACTTGCATTAATACAACACAAACACAACAAATACAAAACAAAAAAGCGTAAAACACGTGCACCGTACGGTTCCAACAGTGCCCTCTCTCTCTCTCTCTCTCTCTCTCTCTCTCTCTCTCTCTCTCTCTCTCTCGCCTCTTACTTAGGCCTACTCTATGCACTCTATCTCTCTTTCTGTCTTCCCCTCTCTCTCTCTCTTACACCCACTTTCTCTCTCCCTTACTCTATCTCTCTCCCTCTTTCTGTCTTTCTCTCTCACTCCCTTTTTCTCCCCCCCCCTCCCCCACTCACACACACACACTTGTAATGTCCATTTAGCCTACCTATGCCAACCTGGCATAGTAGCATGTAAACAATGCTGGCCATTGGTTTTGGCAATTGAAGAACAATAAAGAAAACGAGCAGTCTGAGTTTCACCATCAATGCCTTCACTCTTGTTTCTATACTCTTCGTCATCTTGTCTGCTGTGTGTTCTTATAAACTGGACCTACAAAACAACTAAACATTATACTGGCGACGAGGTATTAAAAAACCCACATAACCAGATCTAGGTAATCCTATTCATACGTTTATTCAGTCTACTGCATTGAGTAAGTGTTTAGTGTAGTAGGGACACCAGTCTCGAGTCTCGAGTTCTAAATATAGATCTAGATCTACTCTACTAGTGCAAGATCTGCAACAACTAGATCTAGTTTGACTTTGAACCCACAAAGTGCTGGTTGTCAAGGTTGACTAAAGCAATATTAAACAAAAACATTCTCGGCCTCGGTTCTTTACCCCCTAGTCCTAGCTTTGGATCGTATCCAGAACTAGATATCTAGGTCCCCAGGCCTAGTTAGGGGAAAAAAACAAACAGAAGGCATCATCGCTACCTCCGTTCCCCCCTTTCAAAGGGAAGACGAGTTCGGCAGGGACGAGGTGGAAGAAATGGATAACAAAATATGAGAATCTTGTGATTGCCATGGACATCACGGCAGACCAAAGAAAAAGGCACTGTTGATGCACTATGGTGGCGATGAGGTCTATGATCTCGTCGAAACCTTCTCGGAAGAGAGCAGAGAATCATACGAGACGCTCAAGGCTGAATTAAGAAACTATTTCACGCCTAAAGTGAATCCGACATTTGAATCGTTCAAATTACGAAAAAAGAAGCAAGAGACATCGGAGAACGTAGACCAATTCCACGAAAGACTCAGGACTCAGGCAAGCCTTTGCCATTTCGAAAATATTGAAAGGGAAATCCTGGCCCAACTCATTGAAGGGGTCACATCCTCTAAACTGCGGAGAAATGCGCTCCGAGACAGACTCAGCCTTACTCAGTTCTTGGCTGAGGCCCGTAACGACGAGCTTACGGAAAAGCAAACCAAGGAGATTGAGAACTCCGTGGACCAGCTCCAAGCGCTGGCTATTCGCCACTCCCACAAGAGCCAGTGAAAAAACCACAAGATAGTGTTGCCTAACAAGAAGACCAACAAAGACAAACCACAACACACACACACACACAAAAAGACACAATGTAGAAATTGTGGTGGTCTTTTCCCACACTCCCCCAACAAAACCTGTCCGGCTAAAGGTAAGATCTGCAGCAACTGCCATAAGCCCAACCATTTCGCCAACGTCTGTCGCTCTACTAAGCGAAAGCAGCAGCGTACACGATCGAAGACATCGGCGAAGACTCTGACAGCGAAGGTGTATTCACCCTTCACACTCACAGAAAACGTGTGCCAAAGACCACTGTACGGATCAACAACCATTCATTTGAGGTGATCATAGACACAGGTGCCTCAGTGAATATAATCACCACATCCACATATGATGGAATAATGCCCAGACCTAAGCTTGAACCGAGTTCAACACCTATCTACGGATACAACACAACAAAATTCTTACCAATCAGAGGATCCTTTACAGCACAAGTCTGTCACAAACAGGCACAGGCAGATGCCAAGTTCTACGTGGTCGACAGAACAAATGAACGGTGCTGCAATCTACTGTCAGCTTCGACATCAGAATATCTGGGCATCGTCTCACTCGCTCTACATGTCAATGTCCCTGAAACCATCTACACCGGGATGGGAAAAATTAGCGACGTAAAGGTCAGACTTCACATCGACGAGAACGTCACCCCAAAGGCGCAGACACACAGGTGCATCCCGTACCACATCCGCAAAGATGTAGAACAAGAACTACAGCGTCTTGAAGAAAATGACATCATAGAGCATGTCGAAGGCCCAACACCTTGGGTTAGCCCGATCGTGGTGGTCCCAAAGAAATCAGGAGGAGTCAGACTCTGCGTGGACATGCGGGAAGCTAACAAAGCCATTAAGCGTGAGCGACACCCCATGCCCACAATCGATGACATGATTCATGATCTCAATGGATCGACAGTGTTCAGTCGCATCGACCTCCAACAGGCGTTCCATCAACTGGAACTCGATGAAGGTAGCAGATACATAACAACATTCTCTACACACGTTGGCCTTCGACGATACAAGAGATTGATGTTCGGAGTAAACGCTGCTCCTGAGCTCTTTCAGCAAGCGCTTCACAGCATCCTCCATGACATTCAAGGTGTCACACATTATATCGACGACATCATTGTTCATGGGAGAACAAAGCAGAGCATGATGCCAGTCTCACAGAAACTCTAGAAAAACTTCAGCAAAGAGGTGCCAAACTCAACAAAGACAAGTGCATCTTCTGTGTTAAACAGCTGTCATTTCTATGTCATACTTTTGGACAGAACGGCATATCACCTGAGCCTCAAAAGGTGAAAGCTATCAGGAGCATCACACCGCCAACATCGGTCTCAGAGCTTAGGTCTTTCCTAGGCATGACACAGTTTGTGTCTCGTTACATCGACGGCTACGCCACCATCACAGAACCACTGAGAAGACTCACAAGAAAGTCCAAAATATGGAAATGGGGACAACAACAAGAAGGAGCCTTCAAAACGCTGAAAACCGCACTCTCTGGAGTAGGTGTGATGGCCTACTTCGATCCAAAGAAATCAACGGAAATCCTGGTAGATGCATCACCATTTGGTCTAGGTGCAATGCTGACCCAACATGGCCGAGTAGTCTGCTATGCAAGTCGCGCTCTGACAGACGTGGAATCCCGTTACAGCCAAACCGAACGGGAGATGCTTGCCGTAGTATACGGTGTGGAAAAATTTCACATTTACCTATATGGCTCCACATTCAGCGTCATCACCGATCACAAGCCCCTACTGGGAATCATCGGCAGCAGCAAGCCTGCATCAGCTCGCATCGATCGCCGGAGACTACGCCTTATGCCATACCAGTATACTCTGACATAGAGGCCAGGCAAAGACGAGGCAAATCGAGCTGATTATCTCTCTCGTCACCCATCAACTCGACCAACAAAGGATAACGACGGAGAGAGCTACATCAACTACGTAGTCAACGCATCTGTCCCTAACGCTCTTTCCCTTGAAGAGGTCAAACAAGCTACTGCCTCTGACAAAACTCTGCAAAACGTCATGACGGGTATCACAACTGGTAACTGGGACTCCAGATCTGTCTCACCGTTCAAACCAATCAAAGACGAACTGACCATCCATGACGGAATCGTCTTGAGATAGAGCAGAATCTTGATCCCAGACTCCCTTCAACTGCGAGTTGTCAAACTAGCTCACAGTGCTCACCAAGGCATCGTCAAGACAAAACAATTGCTTCGAGAAAAAGTCTGGTTCTCAGGAATCGACAGACTGGTAGAGACACACCTTAAGGGGTGTATTCCCTGCCAATCAGCAATCGTTGGCCCTAAACAGAGAGATCCGATCAAAACTACACCACTGCCCAAGCGCCCTTGGGATGAGCTATCTGCGGACTTCGCAGGTCCCTTCCCTTCTGGAGAACTTCTCCTCATAGTAATCGACGATTACAGCAGATTTCCTGAGGTTCAAATTGTCAACTCAACCTCTGCTCGCACAGCCATCCCAAAACTGATGGAGATGTTTTCACGATTTGGCACACCAAGTGTGTTGAAGACTGACAACGGTGCGCCATTCAACTCTGGTGAGTTTGCAGCCTTCGCAAAGAAACTAGGCTTCAAACACCGGAAGATTACTCCACTATGGCCTGAAGCGAACGGAGAGGCTGAAAGGTTCGTACGAACCTTGAACAAGTTTGTTCATGCATGTCAAGCAGAACATTCTGATTGGAAAGTAGAGTTGCAGAACTTCTTCTGCCAATACAGAGCCGCACCGCACACTTCAACGAAAATTTCACCGCATAAGGCTCTCACCAGCAGGTAGATGCGAACAGCTCTCCCAGAGTTGATCGCCACTCACAAGAAGCCACTCCATGACCTGAAAGCCAACGACGACACTGCAAAACTCCTTCAAAAGAAGTATGCAGACTCAGACAGACACACCGCTCAACACAATCTGCAAATCGGTGACACTGTCCTGGTCCGTCAACAAAAACAAAACAAACTGTCAACACCATACAACCCAACACCTTTCACCATCGAAAAGGTGAAGGGAAACATGGTTACTGCCACCAACAGTCAACACACAGTAACAAGGAACTCATCTTTCTACAAAGCAGTTCCACTTCATGAAGTTCATCAAGAACAAGATAAACCTGGACCTGAATCTGATCCTGAAGACGACTATCCATCGTGTAGTCACCCTCAACCTGAGTCTGATTCTGAAGACGACGATTCATCGCGCCGTCACCTTCAAACTCACCATCAGCGCTCAGCACCCATCCAGAGTGAGCAAGTACACTTACCACCAGATGAGGACCTGTCCTCTTCACCACCCTCTCTGGAACACACACGGATAACACACCCAAACTTAATTACTAGAAGTGGCCGTGTTGTTAAAAAGCCCAGCAGATTCACAAGTTAGGCATGCTCTTTATCGGGCAAGTGCAGCGGTCACTCATATCACACACATTCACTAAATTATCTATGCATCCGTAGACATTAAGATTAAGCTCAGTAGTGAGCAACTAGAGTTTCATGCCCCTGGGTATTGATCTACTAGTTTTTCTTTTCAAGTAGAATTTTTTTAAACACTAACACTAATTCCATATTTAAGAGACACTGACTGTATCCAGATGACCTGTTCCAGACGTTCCAAGCAAGACCTAAAACAAAGATGAACCCTTTTCTTGCAATCCAATTTGTATTTCAATAAATCAAAATATCGGTTATTTGTAAAAGAACTTAACACATTCGAATATTAAACATAATAAAGATAAATTTTATTCTTTAAATCACTGATAACATACATATAAGATAATTAACAGTAAATACATATATAATCCCTCCCTATTCTTGTAACTATATAAAGTAAGGAACTTTCTATCTAAGTTGGAGAGGGATGTAATGTCCATTTAGCCTACCTATGCCAACCTGGCATAGTAGCATGTAAACAATGCTGGCCATTGGTTTTGGCAATTGAAGAACAATAAAGAAAACGAGCAGTCTGAGTTTCACCATCAATGCCTTCACTCTTGTTTCTATACTCTTCGCCATCTTGTCTGCTGTGTGTTCTTATAAACCGGACCTATAAAACAACTAAACATTATAACACTCATCTCCAGGGCTCTGGCCGGTGTACGAGAGAGAACTTCACAGTTCAGTCTTTGTTACGAGTCGGATATCTCGAAAATGCTGCGTAGCCAAACTTGCTCTTTATAATTCTTTCGCTTTCGTTTACTCGTTAGTTGAACATTTTCACTTTTCACAGTCGTAGTTTGGAAAAACCCAACCACTGGGCATGACAAAGAGCTTATAAAAGATAATAGGCCTATAGACAGAGCTTTTGAAAGTGGCTCACATTGTTTTGCCTCAAATTGCCAATGACAATATTGACAGCGTGGAAGACTGGAAATTTATGGGAAATTTTCCATCATGCCTGTTAAACCAGAATCGGATGCAGGAGGCGCTATACACATGAAATGCTATTCAGTCATTCATTGCTTTTATTATCATCATCAGTAGTAGTAGTGGCAGTAGTAGTAGTAGTAGTAGTAGTAGTAGTAGTAGTAGTAGTAGTAGTAGTAGTAGTAGTAGTAGTAGTAGCAGTAGCAGTAGCAGTAGCAGTAGCAGTAGCAGCAGTAGTAGTAGCGGCAGCAGCAGTAGAGTAGTAGTAGTAGTAGTAGTAGTAGTAGTAGTAGTAGTAGTAGTAGTAGTAGTAGTAGTAGTAGTAGTAGTAGTAGTAATATTAAGGGGGGGGGGGGCTACACCCCCAAAGTCAAATATCGGCTCAAAATTATGGAATTTGAGTTGTATGCATTTTTAGCTTCCTCAGCCTCTCCTACAACTATTTCATAGCATAAGAACCCCCCCTCCCCCCTCCCCAAAAAAAAACCCAAAAAAAAACCGTATTTTTTCCCATACCGGGCATATTTGTCACCGCCATTCCCTCATAAAGTCAGTATTTTATTTTTCTTTATCGGCCGTGTTCTCAAAACGCGACTTTTCTCTATACTTTTTTGAATAACTCCACCATTTTTTATCCAATCTTCATGAAATTTTCACAGAATGAAGAGAAGATGTAATACTAAAAATTTGTCCGTTGAATTTTTTATATATGGAGTAGATATTTGGTGGTGGTGTCTGGAGTGTGAATTTTCAAGGATTTTTTGCAAACTTGAATGCTACCTCAGGAAAAAATTCATTAAATATTTTCTAATTCGTTTAGGAAAAAAACAACACACATATTTTTAGATCTCATGTTTGTGAACATGCATGCAAAAAAACAATCAGTTTTCAAGAGCGATAAGTGCAGTTTTCATTACGTAAGACATGTCAACAAAATCCAATATGGCCGCCGTATCCATGGAAATGAAACTTTTTTCTCAAATTTGATTGCAGATTTTAAGACTCCTTACTATGCTTGATATAATATATTATGTGTGAAATTTGGTAAGCGAGATAGCCTTCAGGTGTAGCCCCCCCCCCCCCCCCCCCTTAAGTTACTATTGTTATTACTATTATTATCATTATTACTTTTATTATTATTATTTTATTATTGTTAGCCTATTATTTTTCAAAACCAGCTTTCACACACTTACGCACGCACACACACACACACACACACACACACACACACACACACACACACACACACACACACACAGGTAAATAATAATAATAATTGCTTTTATATAGCGCATACCACTGCCCTACAGCATGCTCTACGTACTTTACAACTGTTCTATTACAGTCCATGCCGGTTTTAAGCACGGTCATCGGGAGAAAGCTTAAGCGTGCTTAAAGCCGAGGAGTGCTTAAGTGCGAAGTAGACATAATCCAGAGATTTTCATGTAGAAAATTCCCCGTGCTATTTCCCTTAGTTTGTAAGTAGGCCTATAGCGGTCCCACAAAAGTGTGCACTTTTATTTAGACACCCGCCATGGTAGTTTTTGTTCGCTTGTTTGTTTTTGTTTTGTGGTCGAATGGGAAATGAAAACTTAATTTAGACGGCCAGTCAAGATACAGCACACTAGGTCTACTGTAACACACTGCCTGTGTGTACCACTGCCCGCTCTGCCACTCATACCACCGCCTTCATCCCACCTCGCGCGTGATACACAATCAGGATTAATGGGTAGCGAGGGTCAAAGGTGAAATCACAGCCAGCCTCCCTTTCTCATCTCCCCGACTCTTTTTTTTTGGATCGTGTGTAGCTTTGCCCTAGGCCTAGGCTAGATCCTATGTCCGCACGAACGGCTGTCTGCATCTCTCTGCCTTCCTCTCCGCCCGTGCGAGTGTGTGTGTCCATCACTTGCGTTCTTTGTGTTTCTCTTGACACACTCCACTGTAAGTTGCGGTGTAAACTGTGTTCGAACTTCGATGGGTCATCATAAAAATATTGACTGCCTTGTAAATGAAGCGTGCCTGAAGCCGAAGTTACCGTGCTTATAGGCGTGTAATTTATATAGCAAAAATTCGGTAAGAGCCGTTTAGCATGCTTGAGTCCGAAACGTGCTTAAGGCCGGCGTGCTTATAGCCGGCACGGACTGTATTACCCCAGCAATCCCTCTGAGAACACTACCTAACATTCTCAGCTTCCCGAAAAGCATAGGCCTACAGGGCAAGCTGCGGATTGCTCGCACTCAAACACTAACAAACTGACAAGATCTGTCGCTGTCTATATCCGGGTACCCATTCTCACCTCGGTGAGATAAGGAAAATTAATGTGAAGTCGTGCCTTTCAAAGGACACAGCGTCGGGTCCATGACGGAATTCGAACCCACAACCTTATAAACGGTCTCCCCCGCTCGGGCAGTGCTACTGACTGAAGTCTCTTTACGACATTCCCAAAGGGGGGCTATTAATTAACATGTTATTATGCACAGTAGAATTGTAAATGGGTTGATTTATCAATGTCATGCTCTTACTGTGACGGAACAACATAGGGGGAACTGCTGCCTTTTCTTTCCCCATCATTACTATTGTGATTTTCCTCTACGTCTTTTATATGTTTGTCACTCTCCTGTGAACGGTTATTTTCTGGGTACCTCGATAGTCGGTTGAAGCAGACTTTGTGCTGTTGAGGCTACAGAGGAGAGTAGAGTAAGCCTGATTCCCCGTTCGGACTTCTCTGTTGACGAATTCTGTGGTTGACACCGACCTTTGGCGGTCATAATGACCTGTGTGCGAGCGCCGTAAAACGTTACTAAAACTAAACTAGACTAAATGTCATTACGGTTTCGAGTCCGAGAGCCATAACCACTAGGCCACCGACGCCACAATCTCTATTTTCTAAATATTTTTACCTGTGGTGGCTGGGCTGCGAAAATCTGCTCTTCTTTAATTTTCCATTGCGTATACAGGTGTCTCGACAGTTTTAGATTAAAATGGCCCTGTTAATGTTATAGTTCTTGACCCGTATCAGAGGAATCATGAGCCGACTTAGGTAGGCCTACAGTACTAAAACAATTAACAATCTGATAAGATATCATGGTACGAATGATTGTTTTATCAACACACATGTTCAACGCTTCTTTTATTGGCGCAATACAAAATTTTAATCAGGACAATAATAAAAACAGAGCGGCTCTCGAGGCCTAGAAGTTAAGGTGTTCACCACTCATTCAATAGGTACCGGGTTCGAATCCTGTCAGACAGCAACGGAAAATATTCTTCTCTAAAATTGTCTCCTTTCACACCATTTTTTGCTCTCTATCACAATGTTCTGTCGTCTGTTTTCGTCTCCACTTTCTGCCCCCACCCCCCACCTGCTTTGCCCCCTCCTCTGGGCTCCGGACTCTTTCTGCAGCCTATACATGATGT